TCCGTCTTCTCCGCAAACAGCTTGATTCTGTCGAATGGAAGATCCTCGACCTTAGATTGCAACTCTTTCGGTACGGCAGCGGTCGCAAGCCATGAAGCTCTTCTCATGGAAACTGCTGTTGCAATTGTTCGAGCCGCTGTGTCTGCCACATCCATGGCGATTTGCAAACCTGCTCTGGCACATGCATAGCCCTCCTGCAGTATAGATCGGAGAAGTACTTTGGCAGTTTCGGAAATTCTCTGAGCAATTTCCGATAATTTTGCAATGTTGTCAAAAACTATGATTGGAAAGCAACACTGAGTAATTTGCGATTCGGAGGAGAAGTGTTGAAGAGGAGTACACTTTCCTCCCGAATATGTCCAGTCTCTTTGCGTCCTTGTCTGCTGCCGAGTTTCTTACTTGCGGGTTCTTTGCTCTTTGCAGAGCTGCATCCACAACCAACGAGTTTGGCTGAGGGTGAGTAAAAAGGAACTCAGCATCCTTTGAAGATATAAAGTATCTCTTCTCTGCTCGCTTGCATGATGGAGTAGTGGAAGCCGGCGTATTCCAAATTTCTGTGGATGGCTCCAGGATCGCCTCATCCAGCAGTAGAGCCACCTTAGATTGCTGTCTAGGGTGTAAATTCTTCAGTAACTTATATTGCTTCGCTTTCACCTCCGCTAACTGAACCTCCTGTGATTGTGCTACCCTCTTAAAGAGGTCTTGAAATTCTCTGGTGTCATCTGGTGGTAAGGAGTCCATTGCAAAAACTGCGTCATCGAGGGAAGATGATTGAGCATCCTGTGGGGAAGCTTGTGGCGCCCGCTCATCTGTGTCCAATATCTGGCCCTCTTCAGGCTCCGACAGGACCGAAATTGAGGGGGCACTAGGAGGTGGTCTGGGTGACTGCAACAGTCGATGATCAGAGACCGCTGGCGAGTGGCGTCTGTAAGATGACTGACGGCAACAACACGAATACGAGTGGGACGGTGATCTGCCCTGCCTCCCCATGTAATTACTCCTGTGGTAACGGTAGTCTGAATCAGGAGATGGTCTTCTGGACGCCATGTCTAGTATGCTGAGATCTTGGAGGAGAGTAACTCGGAGAGCGAGTCACTCCCACAGCCATGGCCTCTGCCCTTGTATCGAGACCCCCTCTCTGAAGATCGGGGGTCTCTCCTTCACCCCAAGCTAGAAACATTGCACTTGACAGCTTCGGAGAGCGAGATATGTGTCTGTAATAATGGCGAGATCTTCGTTGCGGGGAACACGAAGACCTATGCCTTGGATAGTAAGGTTCCATTCCCGGTCCCAAATAATGGGGTGGGAAAGGGTATGTTGAAAGCACAGGAGAGGGAGACAGTGAATGATCCCTAGGGATCGACTTCCCAGATGCCTTTGTATGGGCTGATGATGAGTGCCCTTTAACACTTGAAGAGTGCCCTGCTGTGCTGCGATAAATCTCTTTGACAGATGGGGAGCCTGATTCATGGGAGGAGGGAGAGCCTGTTTGCAGTCTGGACATAGGTTGCTGAGCAGATTGCGAGGACTTTCTCGGTGCTGATGCAGGTAATTCCTGCGGCACCGGGTGTGCTGCGGAACAGCTGATAGCTGCCGGCGCCGGCTGCACTGACGGTGCCGGGTCCTCGCTTTGCGGTGCCGGGCTCTCCCGGTGCCGTCTGTTTGGTGCCGAAGGCGCCCGGTCTCGCGGAGCCATAAGTGGCACCGCTTCCGTGACCGCTTGGACAGCCAACTCCAGTGCCGACCCCTGCATGTCCCGCCGTTCCGGGGACGATGATTTCTCCAGTGGTGCCGTTAGCCGGGGCCACTTGCTCCCCGAAGGGGTCGGAGCCCACTCGTGCTCCCTATGGAGAGGGGAGGCTGGCTGTGGGGCAGAAGCAGTGCGTTGCTTGCCCGGTTTCGAGGATCGCAGCTGCGAAATTGACTTAGCCGCGGAGCGGCTGTTGTCCGATCCCCGGTCTCCCTGATTCACTGGAGGGAGAGGGACCGCTGGCAGGGAGCGGGCAGGGGAGGCTTTTTTCTTTTTTGCTCCGGCTGCTGCAGGAGTTAATGCCCTTCTTTTTGGGGTTTGTGAGGACTCCTGCTGCAGAGGGTTTGATGGCTGAAGAGCCTTATCACAGAGCAGAAGTTTGAGGCGGAGGTCCCTGTCTCTTCTTGCCCTCGGAGTCAGCTTAGAGCAGTGGGCACACTTGCTTGGGACATGAGACTCCCCCAGGCAACGAAAACAGAGAGTATGCCCATCAGAAGCAGGCATTGCCTCCTTACATTGTCCGCACCGCTTAAAGCTGGGTGATCCGGACATGGCGGTGAAACTGACCAGGAAAGTGCTTCGGCGCGCAACTGACTAAAGATCTTCTGTTTCCTTTTTAACTAACTAAACAAAGACTAATAACTAACTAACTAACAGTAAAGGTCAAACTATTTACAGACTAGCATTTTTTTGTTTTTTTTTTTTCAGAGAAAAGGCAAGCGACTGGAGAGAGATCGCAGTTTCCGTCAGCAACCGAGGACGGTTGAGAGGAACTGGCGGGGGGGCCGAGCCGCGCTCGTTGGAAAGGGCGCGAACGACCAGCAGCGCAGGGAGCATGCGCGGCCCGGCCCGGTATGGCTTTGAAATCTGCCGATCAGTGGTGCCGGGACGGACCCGACACCTAGAGTGGAGCACCCATGGGGCACATCTCGAAGAACCATCGTTACTACACAAGGTGAGTAACTTCCCCTTATTTAATAAATGTTACTATCATCCCTGTCTTTGCTATCTTGGAGCAGGCTGGGAAGTGGCTGTTCCCTTCATCTCTTCTAACCTTATGTATCTGATTGCTTTAAAGTCTTCTTACATTAAGGTAGCATAAGCTACCATTCCCATTCTCTTGCCATCTTGAGGCAAGAGGACTTTGAATTAAAGCTGTCCCCAGTGAGTGTCCTCCTCCCCCAAGACCTATCTGTGCACTCTGGCACTCCTCCAGATTGGGGTGGTAGTACAGGAGGCCCCTACATATGATCTGTGTGGTGGCATACCAACATTATAGCTATCTGAGATGTCTCTCCCGCCAAACCTGAAGTCCGTCTCACACAAAGGAGGATTAGTGCCCACCCACCTGATTAGAGGACTTCATGCATAGGATCCCATGCCACCATCAAACCAGTGTAGCCATGATGCAGTGGAAATAACGTAGGCACCCACACACATTGGCTATGTCAACACTAGAAGGTTCTTACGCAAGAACGGCTGGTCTTGCGCAAGAACCCGTAGAGCGTCCACACTGCCCGCCCACTCTTGCACAAGAAGATTTACAGTGTGGCGTCGGAAGACAGGGCTTCTTGTGCAAGAGCTACGCTCTTTTCTAACAAGTATAAGCCCTCTTGCACTGCCATGGATGCTCTTGTGCAAAAGCACATGGCAGTGTGCATGCTCTCTTGTGCAAGAGTTCTTGCACAAGAACCCACCAGTGCAGACATAGCCCTCGAGTCCTCTGCAGGAGTGGTGTCATTATCCCCTGCTCCCAAGAGTAGAGGGCTATCAGCATATTTAAGCCTGCCCTACACACAGCTTTTGTGCCAGGATAATTATGGCAGTTAGATGTACAATTTTGACTCATATAGTTGTCTCAGGTGGGCACTGTCATACAGCCATCAATGTCCTTATAATAGCATAGCTTATTCTTGTCCTTTTATGAGAATGTTATAGCAGTACAAAC